TTCAGCATGTGTAAATCCATAGTGGTTTCCTAGTGAAATATGTTTTCGAAGAGTATCAGTTTACGGGCACTCAGTGTCTGTTTTGATTCACCAGCAAAAGATCATTGATCTACGACAGACGTCCTTTATTGATGCCATTCAAACTGACCGAGACATACCGACTACGGTATGTCCGTTGGAACCATAACAATATAAACAATATCGGTGGTCTATAGTATAGATCTCATTCCTCTGAACAACCATAGCAGCCACCGCCATGTCCAAATATGGGATCACCCAGCGTGGGCCGGCTTTTTCATGGTCGATTCCTTCTTTGCGTTTTTTCCTGTTTTTATTTGGTCAGTCTTTGAGAAAATCGCGAACGATTTAGTAGCGTGCACGCGCATTTTTTCCCTATATACCGAGCGTTTCTTCCTGCTATGCGATTTATCGACATGCATAATAGGATTTGAGATATGTTTCGGGTTGTGATTTAGTGGAAATTATAATTCTGCATTCTGTTGAACTTTTTTGAATTGGTCTGCTCGTTACGCGGCAGTCGTAACGGATATTTAGACTTGGGGAAAAGTTCACGATTTGGGAGGTTTGCGTTGTTGACAGAGGTACTGAGGATTGTGTAAACTTGTAACGAATGGGTAAATCAAACAAACACTATTGAAGTTAGTGCGGAAGTACAAACTTAAACATTTTCAAGCACCTTTTTTGACAGTCATACTTTCTAATCACTCACTTTCCATAATTAACCCTGTACTTATTCGCAAAAACCCACTCGTTACATCGACCGCGAATTTTTTTCTCTGCAACGCAAACCGCCAAATTAAAATTTTCATCTATTTTTCCAGCATCATTCAACAGCCTTCCTTTCCTAATACGAATAAGGTTCTCCCCGCACGCCTCCTCCTCCGCCTTTCACGCCACCTAAATGGTCAATCGCCGGTACGATTTCTACAGAGTGTTGGCGTTCTGAAGGTATCGCCATGTTGGGCTGATTGACTGGAAAACGAACCCGATCAATCGTACACAATTAATTAATGTGCATATTTTTTTTTTTGCAAAAACAGTATTTTATTTTTCTGGAAAAACAATTTTCGTACAAAAACAACATTTTGTAGTGATAATGGTGGTGCACCGGGGCAGAAGAAATTTCGAAAGGACAGCTTCAATAATATGGTTTGACAATAGTCATAGGTGTGTAAATAATTTTAATAATTATAACCAGGCTTACTAAAGTAATGTGACTTTTAAGTAAAATTTTCAGTATATTATTGCATTTGCACTGAACAATGAGTCAAACTTTTTTCCCTTATTATACTTGTTTATTATGGAAAGTTGAGAAGTTAATTCAATTTTCAATTGGAAAGTTTAATCACTAAAGGCTTGCCAACTCCATTTGATGCAATGGCTTGAAAACAAAACAAAAAAGCTATAAAAATGATTACTGAACATATATCTGGGAAATTGTCTTCTACATTATTTACACTAAAAAGATTGCCTAATTTGAATTTCATAAAAAATTTATGCCCTGCTCTTTTCCATCCCTTGTATGTAGTACATGCTAGACCACGGGGTTGGTCCATGTCATATTATTTTTGGGCTTCAAAAACATCAATAAGGATTTTTTTAAAATATAAGGACTCACACTTTATTTCTTTCAGCATATTTTTGCCAAAGTTCACTTGAAATTGCTGTTGAAAATTTCAGTTGGTTCCTTGAAGTCTGGTTTCCATTTTATGCTACTATTGCCACTCCTAATTATAATCACTTGAAAATAATTCGATATCGCTTTCTAGCTTGAACTCGAAACTTTTCAATAAAACTCCAGTCAATAACCTGCCTAGATTATAAAGTATTTAAAGGGATCATCGGGCGCTTTTTTCTGATATTTTTATAATTATGATGTATCCTCAAATTGTCCTTTAATAAGAAAGTTTTGATTGTGTGTAGATAATATATTAATTACTTAGAGAAATATTTTGTATATTCTATTTTTTTAAATAATTAGTAAAATAAATAAAATCTAAATCTAAATAATTGTAAGTCCTGTTACTAAGCAACAACAATAGTCTTTCTGTATTACGTCAGTATAGATACTTCTGACTGCTATTGAAGGTGAATGAGCACTGATTTTTTTTCAAAAACTGACAACAATCGTTTCAATAATTAATCTCTGGTTGTATGCAAAATATAGAAATGATGCAATCGATAATGGGAATGTTTCAAACTGCTCAAAGCCATCTGTTAGTAGAGGTTCTTGATACATTATATGTATTTTGCCAGTTACGAGCAAAAGAAATACAAATGAAAACTTATATTATTTTTCCATATTTTTTTCTGCCAATTCAACGAACGATACATAACAGTAGATAATTTCATATTCCCAATGTTCATGTAGGCAGAATAAGATTTATCGTTTTCCTGTGTAGACACGCAATTAATTACTAAAACCTTTCAATAAAACTATCTAAACAAATTCCCAATTCTGTCACAGCTATTTTTATGGGCAACAATAAAATGGTGTTTGTAGGTTGATTTACATTTAAACATACACGTTGTAAACATCCGGAAATAAACGTTGTTAGATTCAAAGATAATGAAGCTGTAACATTTGGACAAATTACTATTTCTTATATCTGTTTATAACATGTTATTTTGCATTCTTGAGTTTCATTGCCTCATTAGTTTGTAATGAGGAAATTTTGCAGCTATAACATTTTATCACCTATTCTGGCACGAAGTTAATTATGCTTTATTGCTTTTAGTAATAATTATATGTTAATATAAGAGCCATGATATTTCTTGATTGTTTATTTTGTTGGGTCGATCAAAATTATTACTTCTAACCTTTTCTCTTTTCAACGGTAATAAAATAGGTAATTGGAAGAAAACCTTCCTTTACTTGAAATCAACCCACCTGTTTTTATAAACCAAATCGAGTTGGTTATGTAATTCATCCAGGTGGGTCGATTTCAAGTAGGACATGGTTTCTCTACAATTAGTTGTAAAGTAAGCAAAAAAGTTATATTTTATGAAACTGGTCAAAACCCAAGATGAACTTTTCGGTGTTAACAAATCCATTTAAAGTAATGGCTTTCCAATGCATGTGTTGTATTTCATACAAAAAAATCATGAAAATCAAAATTAGTTATAGGTACCTCATGTTGGCGCAGGTACCTTACATTTTGTTTAGATATTTTTGTAAAAAAATTTTAATCCACTCGAAAAGGCACCATTATTTGTTTTCTAGCAGAAATATTCCAGAAAATTATTAGTTACTTTCACTTATGAAATAATCTCATTACCCCAGGGAAATTTGACCAAAGAAAGGGCCATCTGCGGAATGGGGCCGAACAAGAACTTTTGCAGAGACCTTCGTTTTGATGTTCTAATGAAGCACAAAAAAATCGAATATGCCTACCCTTGTGCGTCTTGAGATATCGAAGGTCAAAAGTCACGAAAATCGTTTTTTTGCGAAAATCTCGCTTCCCGTGCATCTGGCTTCGGAAAACCCAAAACAAAACTTACGTTTAATAGTATTTTTTACAAAATTGTTCCTATACATTCTTTTGTACGACCAACCGTTTTCGAAATATAGCGTGATAAAGCGGAAGCGCGCATTCAAAATAGGTGATACTGTATTATACAGAGTGTCCACGTTCAACTGGTCAAAAATGCTAGGGTATATAGAGAAACCATAAAGAAGTAATTTGAGATAGGTCACCGATGGTCGGAAGTGCGTCGTTTCCAAAATACAGGGTGTTGAAATTTAAACAACCCCCTTTCATTTTCATATGATCTGAAGGGCTAATGCTAGGCTGTTCAAATTTTTTATTTTTTTTGGGTGGTTTCAGGTAGAAAATTGGGACGAAGTATACGAATTTTCAAATAACATTCCTACATCAATAATACCTGAAAATTTGAACAGCCTAGCATTAGCCCTCCAGATAATATGAAAGGGGGTTGTTTAAATTCCAACACCCTTATTTTCGAAACGACACATTTTCGACCATTGGTGTCCTATCTCAAATTACTTCTCTATGGTTCCTCTATATACCCTAGCATTTTTGACCAGTTGAACGGGGACACCCTGTATAATACAGTATCTCGTATTTTGAATGCGCGCTCCCGCTTTATCACGCTATATTTCAAAAACGGTTGGTCATACAAAAAAATGTATAAGAACAATTTTGTAGAAAATACTATTTTACGTGAGTTTTGTTTTAGGTTCTTCGACGTCAGATGCACTGGAAGCGAGATTTTCGCAAAAAACGATTTTCGTGACCTTTGAACTTCGATATCTCGAGACACACAAGGGTTGGCATATTCGATTTTTTTGAGCTTCATTAGATCATCAAAACGAAGCTCTCTGCAAAAATTCAGCGTGTTCGGCCTTATTCCGCAGAGGAAGTCTAATTTCCTTGGGGTACATAATTTTTGTAAAATAGTGGTTCCACAAAAAGTTCAGATACATTTATAGTTAAAGACAAACAGCTTTCTATTGAAAACTATTGACTTTTGACATGAAATGTTTTTATTCAAAATACAATAATATATGTAGGGCCACAAAATATAGGACATTCAATTAGAATGGTTGTGTATTACTTCCAGTATCATTTTTACTCAAAAATATTCCGTCTGTCATGTTTACCAATTGCTCTGGCCTTTGTTATATAGGCTGTTAAATTTAAAAAAAAATCCTCTAATTTAAATTGAACCCAATTTTCAAATTACCCACAAACTACTCATTTAAAATTAAGATAACCTGAATACATCCTTTGACGTTGTCAAATTGCCGGGCGGTGAGTAGGTGGCCCGCGCTATTGTATTCCAGTTGATGTATGTTATAATTTTTTTTCCAAAATAAGCTGTTCTTTCATGCCGCTGTTTTGAGTGACAGAAACAGGCATCGGTCCTATCGAATTAAGATTTGCTTGCTTGTATCTCATCTAAAAATACGCCTTTCAAAAATAATGTTTCTAAATGCTTTTTTTCTTTGTTTTAAGGTCTGCCCTTCAAACGTTACACAAAGTGAGCGCCAAGGCTCGCGAAGGCAATTATTTCCAAGGTGGTGGCACACACTCATGGGTGGAACATTACGAGGCACGGGTGGCCTCTGATCGGTCCTGTCTTAACGAGTGGCATGCCATGGATTGTCTTGAATCCAGGAGACCGCCCTCGCCCGATTCTATAAGGGCTAGGCCAACGGAAAGGGATGAAACTGAAAAGGTTGGACTTTTTTGAATATAATTATGTTAAATTGTTATATCTGGATCAATAATTATTGCTTTTTCATCTAGGTTATTCGTTCAACTTTGAAAGAAATTATGATGTCAGTGGACCTGGACGAGGTGACGTCCAAATTCATCCGTTCCAGACTGGAGGAGGAACTTGACATGGATTTAGGCGAATTTAAGAGCTTCATCGACCAAGAAATGCTAGTCATTCTGGGCCAGATGGACGCTCCAACGGAGATTTTTGATCATGTCTACCTCGGTTCTGAATGGAACGCCAGTAACTATGAAGAATTGCAGAAAAATGGCGTCGGTCATATTTTAAACGTTACCAGAGAAATCGACAATTTTTTTCCTGGTACTTTCGACTATCTAAACGTGCGCGTCTATGACGATGAAAAAACAGACCTCCTGAAGCATTGGGACGACACATTCAAATACATCACAAAAGCAAGAAATGAAGGCTCAAAAGTATTAGTTCATTGCAAAATGGGTGTCAGTCGATCAGCTAGCGTAGTCATAGCATATGCTATGAAGGCTTATAATTGGGACTTTGACAAGGCTCTGCATCACGTTAAAGATAAACGTAGCTGCATCAAACCTAACACTAACTTTCTAACACAGCTGGAAACGTATCAAGGTAAGTTTAATCTTGATTAAAATCTCAATTTTACAATAATTATTGATTTTCAATTCAGGTATTCTGGATGCTATGAAGAACAAAGAAAAGCTACAGAGATCAAAGTCTGAAACTAATCTAAAGTCACCGACTAACAATAACAAGGTAGAGAAGGCGCCATCTGGTGGAACGCCAACGCCAGTGGTTCAAGCTCTGTCCAAATCTTATGATCTCCACTCATCTTTATCGGGCCAGGATCTCAGGCAAATGGGAGCGCGTCCCAAATCCTGGTCTCCTGATAATTTGGCAACAAGAGAGATCAAGGAAGGTGTCAAGTCGTCTCCAGGTTTCATGAGCCTGGAAGATCTAAGTCAGAAAAGTGCGTCCAAAGAAAACGTGCAAGACAGCAAATCTTCTCTTGCCCGTCACGTGTTGATGCCTTGCGATAATGGCGAATCATACAGTGTTTCTCCAAACCAAATAGTGCACTTGCCAGGCCACGACACCACAACCCGGACAGACGACAAACGAACTTGCTTAGCGGAAACCGAAGTGAAGATCGATAATAGTTCCTGTAGTATAAGTAGAGTGAAAACTGTTGTGGCGTCCGAAACGTGGGACCCGGGAGAAGATAAATCGGCGAAAATAATAGGATTGATTGTCAGTGACAGTACAACTAGCCCCGTCTGTGATCAAAAGCTTAGTAGTATAGTACCTGGCGACAGTAGTAGAACGCCCGTGTGGACTTCTTCTGCAGTGATAATGACTCAAAGTGCTGTGTCCTCTAATAGTTTTAGTAAAGTTCCTGAATCTCGCTCCAAAAACACTGCTCAAAGTGATCTGTTTTCAAATCAGCTCGACAAAGTGTTTGACAAAGAAGAAAAGAAACAACAAAGATGGTCAACGTTTCAAGCGACCGCCGACTTGGATGACAAACTAGCCAGAGAATGTCCGTCGAGACAGAGTTCGTGGAGTTCCTATGATAGTGCAGTCGTGATGGGTTTTCCAGAGAAAAATGAATTGTCGAGGCATAGCTCTTGGGGGTCTGGCGATACTAGGATTTTACCTAGTAGAAATAGTTCATGGGGATCCTATGACATGAGGCCAAGAACTTCTGTGTACTATAATAATGAAAAAGGTAATGTAAAATTGAAAACCCATTTGTAGAAAAATTGCAATCATTTAAAAAAGTATTTCTCCAATTTGAGCAAAAATTTGTACAAAAAAAGGTTGGTTTGTGATTTTTTTTTGGGACAGACCCATTGAAATTTAGCACACTAATTATCTTTGAAGTTGTTGTTATGGTTAAATGGTGTGAAAGTAGATTTATTTCTGCTTCTTCAGACCCTCAGTGTCAGCTTTATGTAGACCCATTCAATTACACCTATTGGATTTTTTGCCAATTGAAATTCCTTCTATACATCAATAGATTGTATGTAAACTTAATATAGGCTGACTTGTTCTCATTTATTCATAGGTGAATACTCCAATTTCCCAATTATTTTAAATCTTCCATTATGGTTTTATTGTATGTAGACACACTGGCAGCCAGTCTCATACCTTGTCAGATCCTGGTATAATTCAACACACGCTCTGTCAAAATCCGACATAAGAATCCGTAGTGGTTTCCTATACAGTTTTAAAAGTTAATCATAAGACCATAATGATAGATTTATACCACAGTGTATGTAACTATTTATCAAAAAGCTTAGACGAAATATTTATATGATGATTTTTTGAGGTCCATTTTTTACCCATGATGGCACTAAACAAACTAAATAAATCACCTATTTGATAAAACTACCCTGTAACAATGGTAATATCATTAGCCATACCACTCTAATTTTTAGATTTACATTTTTTGTCACCAATGTTTTTGACATACCTCATACCTACTTGAAAGATAAGGCACTGCAGAAGTAGAAATAATTCTGTTACATAGCATATTATCACAAACCACCTACTTTATGATTTCCCAAAAAATTAACTTAAATATCCAGGTACTACCTACTTTTTTACCTTTGAAGGATATTTTAATTTCAATAATTCAATCTCTTTAATAAATATTTTTCTCTTTTACTTAGGTGAAAAGATACTCCATAGCACTTCTGATCTGGAACAGAATCCTAGCGGTATCTTCCCCTATGACAAAGAAGACATTCCCTGGCATCCAGGTACGGTCAAACGCACAAAACAACGCCTTGAGGGTAGCGTTACCACTGCAAGGCAGCTGACCAATGATAGTGTCTCTAGTAGCTGTGTGTCTTTAAACAAAACTCCGAGCTCAGAAACCTTATTTAATTTTGCCGAAGCTGTTAATGAAAGTCTTGTGGAAAGAGGAACGACTACCTTAGATGTTGAATCTATCAGTGCCATATCTAATAAAATTGACATTCCTTTTACAGATAAATGTAGTGTGCTCTCTCCAAATATATCGCGTTTATCAACTAGCGCCCCTGAGCCTTGTTCCATGGAGCTAGTGGTACATGAATGTTCATTGTCTCGTTCGACTTCTAATGTTTCTGGAAAAGATGCTTCTGTACAGCCTTTGGAGAATGGAAGAGAACAATGTTCGTCTGTGAAAATGCAGACGAGTTTTTTGGAAAGCTTACAGAAAGACTACCAAATGTCTACTAAAAAGAATGAAGAATCCTTCGAAAATTCTTTGGGCAAAGTGAAAAACTTGAAAAAGGAATTCGAGGCTAAATCTTCCTCGGTTGGTGTAGTGGATCAAATGAGTATAAGTACAGAGCGACCTGAGAGACCACTTAAAGTAACCAAAAACAGAAGTCTTCCATCTTCTCCCGTATGTATTCATCAACTCAAGGAACTAAAAGTAGTCAGTGATGATCTCAATTTCAAAACCATTCGAAGCGTTTTTGAAAAAAATAAAGAAGAAACACAACATGTTAAATTAAGGCAAAAAAGTAGCAAAACCAATGGAAGAAATCATTCCAGTAGATATTCTTGCATCGAAATGGCCATAGATAAAAATCCGAGGATACTTTCCACTTCTTTAATATGTAAAACAGAAAAAAGTGAATGCGATTACAAACGACCCCCCATAGTACCTGCCGTAAAACAAATAGCGGCCACTGTTATAGCCACTGCTGCCAAAAAGCAACAGCAATACGGCAAAACGCATCCATTGGCAAGAATTAACATAAAACCTAGGCACAATAACCCTGTTTACAACACCATGTAAAAAAATCACCGACTTTCAAGAATTAAGTGTGATAATGATTAAAATTTTGAAATTAAATTATATTGTGTATTTTAGTTATAGCTTGGATGTGCCTCTAAGCACAATATTTGATCCATATTGGGTTTTAAATGATATATTTTGAAACAGTATTACAGCAGCTTCTGTGAAAACAAGTTTTAAATAATCTGAGTTAGATTTTGTTTTTGTTTAAATCAAAAAAGAGAAATATAATGCGTTCATCAAACTCGGATTAAGCTCTGCTTAATAATTTTTCATTATTCTTTTTTTAAAACACTAAAACCACTAACTAAACAAATGTTAACTAAAAATTATCACAGCACAGGTACATATGGTCAGGACAATTGATATTTTAGGAAAAGAATAATGAAAATTTCTGCTGCTATGTAATGCTCAAGTTACAAAAAGAAAATGGCTGTGACGGCATTATTTCATTATTTGTTTTACCTTTTTTTCATAATTTATATTTTTATTGGTTTTTATATTTATATTTTTTTTTTCAAATTTTTGAATTTTAGAAAAAAAAAAATTATCACTTTATATCTACTTTTTTTCGACATTGAAAAGTCTCAAACAATGTTTTTTCCTATAATGAATTTCATTGTTTGTTTCACCTTTTTTTTTCATAATTTGTAAATATTTATATTGGTTTTTATATTTGTATTTTTTTTTTTTTTAAATTATTGAATTTTGCAAACAAATTTTATCACTTAATACCTCTACTTTTTGTTCGACATTGGAAAGTTTCGAATAATGTTTTTTCCTATAATAAATAAAATCACAAAAAAGTTGTACAAACTATTTTCTTTATTTCTGTCTCAACAATGTATGTATGGTGGCGTAGATATAGTTTTGGAGTAGCTGCCATGAAAATGCTCTTGTCATTCTGCTCATACCTACATGTAATTATGGAACTCAAAACTACCATCATTAAACATTACGAATTAAAAATCCTATATCTAAGCACAAAAGAAGTATGCCCAAAAATGTAAAGATAGAAAAATACATTGCTTGGGTTTATATTATCTTTTTCGGCATTTATATTGAAAAAAAAATAAATTATGGATATAATAAATTAATTAGTTATGACTTAATGCTGGTAAAAATGTTAAAAATAAGAAATGTCGGAATCTTAGAAGGTTCCAAAATGTACCAAGCTTTCTATGTGTGCTGTAAATAAGGCAAAAGTATATTTTCAGACTTCACTCTTTGTAACTTAAATCTATTAATTACACTGTCAAACTCTAAAAAATCGCCAAATTATCATCTGAAAATACATATGGATATAACATTATCGGAATATTTATTTCTACAAAACTATTGTCAAAAACTGCCAAGTTCACCAGAAACAATACTCATCTCATCACATCACATGAACATCACATTTTTTTAAAAAGTTGCATTCTTTATACCTAGCTAGGACGAGCCAATTTATTGTTAGTCTCAAAATTTAACTTTTTAGTGAGAAGAAAAACAGAAATTAATTTGCCCTGCAAATGACAATAACGAAATATAGAGGCCCTTAACTTAACTCTCTGATTTGCTTCAGTGCAGTTGTTAGTAATGAAAGGTTTATCTAAATTTAGTAGAGCATTTCATTTAGTAAAAAAATATCTATACCTTTGTCAATAAAATTATTGTTGAGAAAAAGATATGCTCAACAACTAATTCAAATTAGGGTTGAGGTAAGTATTTTACGATTATCTCAGGCAAATTTCATTTTTCCTTTAAACTTTATTGAAGGGAAATAATCGCAAAAAATTAGATTTAATATATATCCAGTTTGTTGGGATTGTGTTCCTATTGCAATCCTAATTTTATTTGCTAAGATCCATCAAATAACTTTCTATTTTTTTGCCAAAAAATTTGTTTTTTACTATTCAATGATAGAACAGGTAGACTTACCGCTTAGTTGTAAGACTTTTTTATGTTAAATATGTGCGCTGTCGATTTTCGCTTTTGTGTGTATTTATGTGATAGTTATTATTACTTTTTTTTGTACTATATAATGTGTAAATTATTCTCCAATGTACCGCTTATCAAAAAAATCTCATTGAAAAAACTATTTCAAAACATACATCTAATTAAAAAAACATTTATTGTTGAAAAAAAATGTGTTTTATTTTTATGAAAAAGAAAACGGCCAGGTCCAGACTGGCAAGCTCCGCCTTGTGGGGCTTCCTTCCTGCCTGTCAAATTTAGCAGTAAAGTGTCCTCCTGAAGCAATGTGAGTTATTATCTGGGCCTACTGACTTGTTGCTCTACTTTTATTAATTTGATGTATCATTACTTAGAAAAAAATATATTTTCACATTCTGCGTAGATCAATAAACGCAGTTTAGTGATTTATGAGAGGAATTATAATTGAGGAGAATTATTTTCTACGCTCAGGATATCAATTAGAGTTCCTACTTCAAGCAAAAAGGAAGTGCGATGTCTGCGGCCAGTTTAGCAGAGGCAGAGATCAAATAAATGATTGGGTCTATTGAAAAGCCTGAAGCTGTACAATATTTTTCTCATAGGTACAACTGATTGGTGTTATTTGAAGTCTGGGTTTTGAGTACATAGTAGAATCCTTCCAAAGCACTGAACTCCAACTTTCCCAATAGCGTCTTGTGCACGATCCATGCAGTCGAAAGCCTTTTTTTTTTTAAATATGAAAAAAATCTTGATTCAACAAGTTTTGATTTGATATGACTGGCAATAAGAGTGAGAACGGGCGGTAGGTAATTGTTGTAACCCTTTTCCAGTAAGTAATCAATTATACAGGTAACCTAAAGCTTCACAGCAATTAACATGAAATTATTTTAATATTTTCACATAGTAGGCATCTAATAAGTAGAGGTAGACACACATGTTTGTAATTCATTTGATAGTATCAGATACCTACATCTGCTCCTGACACTGTTAGAGAAACAAAATTCTTTTTAACTCGCTGGATCTCTTTGCCTCAGGTAGGTACCTACCTACATCTTTTCCAGTCTTCTTCTTCTTCCAATGCGTATCCACCAATGGATATTTGTCATAATATTTTCCATTGCTTCTCTATTCCTTGCGGTGTGTATAATACACATCATGCCCTGTCCACTGTCTGATATTTCGCAGCCAAGACATTTTCTTTCTTGCGATCCTTCTGTGGCCTTCGATCAACAGGTGCAAGAATTGGTATTTCGTGTTTCCCATTATATGCCGTTGTTCTCTTTTTAATCAATTCAAACAGTTCACGTTGTTGTTATCTCAGGACTTCTTCGTTTGTTAGTTTAGCCGTCCAAGGTATCTTAACGATTCTGCGATACAGCCACATCTCGAAAGCCTCTAATTTGTTGATTGCAGTCACCTTTAATGTCCAACCTTCCATACCGTAAAGTAAAGAAGCACTGACCAAACTTAGCATTTAATGAATCTGAGTCTCAGGTTAAGGTCAAAATCGGAACAGGTAAGCACTCTTCGAAACCTCAAGAATGCCTGTTGAGCTTGTTCAATGCGACATTTTATTTCCTTGTCTGATGTCCACTGTCGAGTCTTCGAAAAGCCAGACGCCCAAGTAAAGTCCATTCCAAAATATTTCGTTGACTTCACGGCTATAAAACCCTACCATAAATTAGATAGCTATTAGCCTCTATTGTGTAGGTACCAGGTTCTTTTATGTAGGTACCGGGTTCCTTAATACCCACTCAAAGGTTTACAGGTACTTAAATTTATCTACTCTCTCTATGGGCCTTGCGTTAAATGTTATGGTGGAGTTTTCAAACATGGTTTCTAGAGATAATCATAAACTCTGTTTTTTTTTTTGTTGATATTTAAGCCCATTGTTTTGCTCTGTTCTCCTACCTTGTTGACTAATTGTTGTAGGTCGTGTAAGTTATCAGCAATTAAGACCGTATCGTCAGCATAGCGGATATTGTTGAGAAAACATTGATCCAAATTACAATTACAAAATGGTAGAAAACATTTTACCCAGAGGGTGTTGATCATGTCAAAATTCACAATACACAATAAAAAAATTTGTACTTAAATCTTAAAAACATTTAGTACAAAAAAAAAAAATGAATACATACACCTAAGGAAACAAAAAAACATTTAAGTAAGAAAACAGACAAATAAACCTCACAAGGCAAGGCAAGAGATGTAGAAGTTAGATTACTAATTGAAGAAGCCAAAAAAAAAATTAATTTCCCCAGTGGCATGACTGGCGTTAGAGTCAAGAAAATGAATTGTCTGTAATTTCTGAATCGCCTGTACCTAACTCCGCTACCGATCGACATCGGACCATTGACACACCATTGGTAATAATACGAACCTTTATGCTTAAAATTATGAGATCTAGGTATAACCTGTCTCAGATTGGGTCCCGATGAACATACTAAAAGTCCCCATACCTCTTCCTAGGGGAACATTGTGAAAATGGCGCGGCCATCTTGAATTTTTGACATTTTGTGCTTAATTTACGTATTACTTAGAAATAACTCATTTTTTGAGCAAATATGTAGAGAGATTAATTGAAGAGCAATAAAAAACCTTCGAACTTCCTGGGTAGGTACTACCCTTACTAAGATAGGAACGGAAGAAATTGACGTCGAAATACTACTTTTCACGTGCAACTTTACATGCAACTTGAATGTTTGGGGGAAATCTGATTTGAATAAATAAACAATTATTGTCTATATAGACATAATAATTATAATTATTATATCTATATAGACAATAAGCTTATGGTAGGTATGAGAAAAATGAAGTAAAAATAACATGAGTACCTTTTTTTCCTCCTATTGAACAGCGCATAAAAACACGTGGGAAGCGCGGAGTGACAGCGGGTTTACTTTCTGCTGGATAGAAAACTTAAATAACTGCAAGAAAATATAAGAAGTCAATGGAAAGCTGATATCTGGCTTTTCTATATCCAATAACTTTCCATACATAAATTGTCTACGTTATTGCAAGACAAACAAAGAAGAATATGAAATAAAGCTACTGGAAACCTTGCCTACCTTTTCTGTAGAGTAAAAATCAAACGAGAAGAAGCCACACGCGTTATCGTTTGTCTCACTTTAAATGGGAGGGACCCAGAGAAAAGGAAATCTGCCTTCTTTGTCAGCGCTGACGTCAATGGCTTCTTCTCGTTTGATTCTTACTCTATCTCCTTGGAATTTAGCCAACACGCCGGATGATTGAAAAGAAACACATTTTAAACCTCAAACCCACCACAGGAATATTTTCGTATCGCATTCAATCTAACCCTTACGAAATACTCCGGTAAAGGCGACATTCGAGTCAGCTGTTCGCGGTGGCTGGTCACCATTTTGCGCATAATACGCGTACTAACCGAAAGTCAAAGAAACACACATAATTCTTGCCATCAAAATTAATAGAACATTACCTTTTCCACATTAGCATAAGGTAAGTATGTAGGTTATCATATATTAGCTTTGATTGGCATTTCTGGTAAACTTTTAACAATTGGTCGCAAATTATAAATGTTGTCGATTTCCCATATATTGGAGTGATGGAGGAATGTTTTCTAGGTCAATTTTTAAAAACTTCTTTGAAAAATAACCTTTTTGTTTGTTTTTGAAGCGTGTGTAGCTAATATCGTAATGTAAAGTGTAAGTATAAAAAGTGCAACATATTTCGCATTTCGTCCTAAGATAAAACCGAGAAAATCGCGTTTTTAGTTCAGGTCGCAATTTCCTTGATTAGCTATCGGGGTCAACGGATATCGTAAAAACGTGCGGCCCCATTGTATCAAAGCATGCCGAACTCGTGTCGGCCATAAATAATAAAATAATGTTTTTTTATATGGATATTGGAGATTTATATTTACCAAATTAAAATTAGATTATTTGATTCAATTCAAACTGTTATCAAAGTCTTTTTATAGTTATTATTGAAGAACTTTGAATTTTTTCTATTTTAGATACTTGATTCAATGATTCAATCAATAGTTCTAAGTTTTGTTTCACTCAACCGTTTTATATTTCAATTTCTATATGACATTAGGATTTTCGAGAACATATTAGGAAGTTTATAAGACATACCCACATCTCCTCCGACTTCTCCTAATTAATATTTATAAAAATAACTTTTGATATCACGTCTCCTTGAGAATATTATTCAGGTACATCCCTTTACAAAAGTGCCGCAATTGCAAAACTATTTTCTGTGGTCTCTCCGAAACCTTTTGATAGCTACTTGATAATAAAGATTTTAATTTGAGTTCTATTTAATTGCACCTTAATTTAATTTTATTTTCAGAAAACTCTCTTTATGCATTTTAAGTCCCTACAAATGAAGGATTCATTTTTCTGGATCACTACAAGGTTTCTTAGCTGAGCTAAGTTGTTTGATCCTACACGCAATTCTAACAAGCTGGGGTAAAGAGGGAGGTAAGATTCTAACTCAGTTGTGTCAAATCATACGTACAACTCAGTTAGTTCCTTTTCTTGAAGTTAGGTCAGAAAATGGTTAGCTCGTAAGCGGCTACTTTCAGCTCAATCAGCAGTCCTATTTGATTAATGGCCGTTTCCACCAACTATTTTAGGGAAGCCTTAACGATAAGTATTGCTTAAAATTACATTTTTACATAACCGACCACTGACGTCCCTGGGCCAATGATTAATTAGGAAATCTCATCAATATGACGACCATGGACAAACAAATGAACAATGAAATTGACGCCGTAAGGATTTCATTTACCTTTAGACAACCGTGACGTTTTGTCAACATAAAACAATTTTTTGTGTATTTTGTGATGTTTTAAGGTGATTTTTTAGTGCTTGGGAAGGATCATTTTCGTTTCAAGAGTCTTTGTCTTGAGAAGTTATTAGTGGAAAAAAAAATCCCATCTAAAATCCTATCGAGCTTCTTCCTCAACAATGAGAATTATTAAATGGAAGGTATTCATTTTTAACACAGGATAACGATTGGAATAGTAAGAGTGCCGGTATGATAAAAAATGATTGAGCAAGACGTTTAATAAAGCGTAATATATTGAGTTATATTTTTCCGAAGAAATTATTTATTGAATTTGACAAAAAGAGAATCAATTATGGTAATTTTGAGGAGTAGACAACACAAGCACTGAGCAGGCTACGCTAAGCATCCATTTCCCCTCCTGCCTTCCCCCAATCAAGCGTATGTGCGTACTCCTCCACCGCAAACACGCTCATATGAATAAAAAAGAAGCAAATGCTTTTGCTTAGGTTTTTTGAGATAAACATATTCAGCATCAATGCAGCAAAAAGAGACGGAGGTAGAGTAAAAGCATTTGCTACACTTTATTCATATGTCTGACTGTCATACTCTCCTACGTGAGCGAAATTTTCGTTATGGTCGAAAATTGGAACCTCCACAGCAAAGATGTTCCACTTGAAAATTGAGGTTTAGTAAGCAAAAAACGGAAGAAATGATAAAAACTAACCCAAACCATGACCTTGGATCGTTATGCCTTTCTGCGGATGACCATGAAAAAAAAGCACAATATAGGTAAGCTATACACAAGAATAATACCAAAGATATAATACACACTACTACTATAGGCACCAGCCTATCCTCATAAGGCCTGTGTAATTCAAATCTCAAGCTGCCCACCACGCCAAAGCACCAGTGATGACTTAGTCAGCGTGTCGTTTCACGCATTGACGTAGGGTGTCTATTATGTTAATCAAAATTAAATAATATTTTTCATCATAAATTTAAATTGTAAACATACGTCCGCTGGCGCAAACAGCTGACGACTTAGTTAATGACGTCGACGATGGTGCTACACCATACGTCCACGATTACTAAAACGGGGCCGATACGCAATCCTGTAGTAGTCCTTGAGCTATACAGACAAATCGTTGGTTGAAAACCTGTGTTCTTTTTTCTATGTAGGAACGGCATAAAACGATACTTTATTACGATAAAAACGGCTTCTACAATCAACTTCAATACAAATAGCAAACATTAAAAAAAAAAAAATACTTTTCACCATTAATAAAATCTCAATTTATAGCAAAAAAACTGGAAAAAATAATACCTATTACAGGATTGCTCATCGGCGTCGATTTTTGGAATCAATGTCATAGTGTTGCACCGTTGATGACGTCATCAAATGTGTCGTTAGCTGTTTGCGCCAGCGGTCCTAGATTGGAACATGAATTTTTGATGAAAAATAATATTCAATTTTTATCAACATAATAGGCAAAGAGGAAGATGCAAACGAGATCTAAAAAAGGGTTGTTTTAGATGTGGTACTTTGGCGTGGTGGGAGCTTGAGATTTGAACTACACAGGCCTTATGAGGTTAGAGTATCCTGTGTAGTGTGTAATATCCTTGCAGCCCAACGAGTCGATTTTGTTACTTCAAGGTGAGCTTCTGTCAACAATGTCATCTTTGAGCTCGCGGATTATTACCCGAACTCGCGACTGCTTATTGAGCTGAAAGTGTCTGCCATTTCAGCCGCAGACCTCAACTATTGGCTTAATATGCATTACCCTATCCGAGTTTAAAACACTATAGGTCAAAAAAACGAATTCCTAAACGTTAGAATCGTGATAAAATCACCTTTTCTACATTTAAAATCGACGAAAAAATTAACTCACAGCACAGCCTAAATCGCAAGCATTCCATCGAGGCCTGCGCAGCTTTCCATCGAGGCCTGCGCAGCATTCCATCGTTCGCCATTAGCAGCAGCCACCACCAGTAGCCGCTGCTAGTGGTGACGTCACTCGCAGACCTTGCCGACTCGAGATTGTACAGTACACATAGAAAAAAAAAAATCACAGATGTTTGATCATTTGCCGCCATCGCCATTTGATTGTGCTTATGTTCCGATATCAACTGTCAGTACTGAATTTACTGGATGCCGTTCCGATATTATTTTCAGTACACTTTCTTCAGTCGATTCAGTACTGAATGACCACAAGAGTACGTTGTTGAAATCGGAACGGCAAATGACAGTAAAATCAGCACAGTATAAGGCTATGTTTCGATATCAACTGCCAGTACTGGATTTACTGTGCTGATTTTACTGTCATTTGCCGATTCCGATTTCAACAGCGTACTCTTGAAGTCATTCAGTACTGAATCGACTGAATCCACTGTACTGAAAATAATATCGGAACGGCGTCCAGTAAATTCAGTACTGATATCGGAACATAGGCTAAATCCAGTGCTGCGTTCGAGAACCTGGTTGTTGGTGTGAAAATTATTTCAAGGAGTGGGGGCCGACACACTTCGGTGTGCCAATCTTGCACTAGGTATTCGAACGGTGACCGAGTGGTTTTCTCACAAAAGTTTGTCTAGAATTAGCCAATTAGCAAAAAGAAACTTGTTCTGACCATATTAATATTTATATAAGCAAATCACAGTAATCAAATGACACAATTGATACAATAATGGCCTAATAATCTAATAATAAACAAATTGTAATGTCATATATGTCAGCTTAAATTTCACTCTAGTCAGGACTAGAGTGTCCGGTGCGCGCACCATTACGTGACACACCATTACGTGACAACCACCTTTCCGAACGTCGAAAACCGTGTGATTTTAATCCACACTCCGACTTTTCGAACGGCAGGTGTGGATTTTTATACGACACACCAGGTTCTCGAACGCAACCCAGTACTGGCAGTTGATATCGGAACATAGCCTATTAGGCAATTCAAACCACGTGACTTTCAAGGTGGCGTGGCGGCCACACATGGGCCAAAAAAACACAAAAAAATATCTAGATTCAACCCGATTTAATAGTTTAGGTACCTAGTCAACAAATATTTTATTAAATAATCAAAATCAACCTTGCAAGCAAAACTCTAAGGAAATAATTTGAAATACGCATAAAAACACATTCAAAACAAACTTGCTTGGCCGCCACGCCATATTGAATTTTCCTATTTGACAGATGGATTGAATTGCCTAATTTCTTGAGAGTGGTGCAGCAAAATTGGATTATGTTTTTATTTGTTGATTGTTGTTGTTTTTGTCCCAAAAATCGAGAAAAACTATTAAAACGAATATTTTGAATTAAACCCAAACTAAAAAATGATTCCAAACGTTGGTACAATACCAGATCTCCCACCGGAAAATGGCCAATCGAACAGCACCATCGTAATTCATCCTGGATCGTTGAATCTTCGAATTGGTCTTGCTTCAGATCCGAATCCCACAACCGTTTTACATGCCATTGCTAGAAGGAGGAAACCTGGGGGCCAAGTGAGTTCTAATTTTATTGTATGCAACAAATACATACTCGCGTTATTTATTCTAGATCTATTCTGATTCGTTTTTATCGGAACGATGCAATTTGAGCCAGACCAAAGAGTTTGAAGAAGCTCGCCTAGCGATTTCCCATACTTTGCAGTCGTGTCTTCAATCAGACGGCAGAAGAAGGTATGCAACTGCTCCCCAACAAATTGCTGCTTTCAATAGAAGAGTTCAACCAGAGATTATAGGTAGACCTGGTATTTCTTCTATAAAAGATATGTTTTTAAATAAGACTTATATTGTTTAGGGGATAGTGGTGGTGCATGGATCAAAACCGACGAGGACACAGTAATCGGGAATGATATATTTAGGCTAAACCCTGAAGAGCCTTTCAACATTCATTTTCCTTATAAACGAGGCGACTTTAATATTCATCCTGGACCAGGAGGTTCCATTACAGCAGTTATAGCTGATCTTGAAACAATTTGGTCGTATATAATTGAAACTTGTTTACAAATAAACGTAAACGAATTGAGAAATTTTAGAGTTGTGCTCATTATTCCTGATGTCTATAATAGATTGTATCTGCGGGAACTTATGCATCTACTTTTGGGTACCATGGGTTTTGGAAGTGCTTTTTTTGGTAAGAATTATATTTTTTTTAAGGCCAAGAGATAAACTGCAGAAAAATCTTTTGAACATAATTCATTCTTCAAATTGCTACTTATTTCTCTAAACTCCTTCAAAAATTCCTTTCAATTTCCTTTTTTTTGCAATTTCCATCAATGATTCTTTCATTCATAAACATTACTGAATCTTGAAATGTTCTTTCTCACATCAACATTGATGAATGTATAATCAATAATATTGTCAATATGGTACAATATGGTACCAGTAAGTGCATTAAATGTGAAAATTATGATTTTCGAGGTTTTTCAAATTTTTCACTTTACCATCAGAAAGAGGACCACAAAGGCGGTCTGATCTTTCCGTTCTCATCAGTGTGGCTCATCACGCTAATGTAACAAAGAATACATACTCAAGTTAGCGCCTGATAGCAACCAAATTTAGTGGAAACTTTTTTTAGGTTTCAAGTTCTGAAAAAAATTAGAATGATTTCTTAGACCCAGAAAATTATGATTATCCAACATAGGCTCATACAAACTTCAACATCTCTAAATTAGTTTTGAATCCTCTATGATGAGATACAACAGGATTGAATCCTAAACCTCTTGAACAATTTTTAAGGTAGTCACCAGAGTTGAAACTTTGTTTTCTTGGTTTTCCATAAATAATTGAGTTTTAAAAAATAATCGGATCAGTGAAGATTAAAAAAATATTGTAACTACGATTAACTATCCTTTTTATAGATTTTCAAATTCCTGGAATTCCGCAGATAATCCAGCAATAGTTCTTGTAATTTTTACTTATTCCTCCTATTTTTTTTTTTTTAATTTCTTTTTTTTAGTCCAGGATCATGTCTCGGCCACGTTCGGTTCTGGCTTAAGCTATGCATGTGTGGTCGATGTAGGCGACCAAAAAACCTCAGTTTCATGCGTTGAAGATGGCATTTGCCATCAAAACACACGCGTAAGGCTGGATTACGGCGGAGGAGATATAACGCAAATATTTTATTGGCTTTTACAAAAATGCGCTTTTCCTTACAAAGAGTGCGACGATCAAAACAAACTGGACTCTATGCTATTGAGGAAGCTGAAAGAAGAATTGTGTCATGTAAACTTGGATATTTGCGGTTCCAAGGAAAAATCTTTTACATTGAAACAGCCAGAAAAACCCGTGAGCCATTTTACAATACAAGTATGTATGTAGGTATAGAAATAATGAAAATTAAATTATTATTATACATCTTCAAGGTTGGTGATGAATGTATTATAGCCCCGTTGAGTCTTTTCAATCCAGAACTTTTTGGGATAACAGGACCAAAGCAGATACACACTCAAAAAATATCCACAGGTGATCCAGAGGATCCACATGATGAATTATATTTGAGAGATATTAGGAAAAAAGGTAATTACTATACTCTTCCTAGCAGCAACATTATGCAAACTGCATCAAGTAATTTTAACATTGAAAATTTGTAGACACACATAGTATATCAGAATTTTTGATTGATTTAAAGGTATCAAAGAAGAATCATCGACCAATGATCCCACAGACTCTTTTTTTGAAAGTACCCAAGCTGGAGCCGAGGACGATATTGTTGTCGATGCAATGGAGTCTGCCATTACTCAATCGGTTAAAGAGTTTGTAACCAATCCCGGTCAAATTTTGGGATTAGATCAAGCCGTGCTTCAAAGTATTGATAGGTGAGGAGCTTAATTACATTTTCCCAGATATCTTCCAAATTCTACTTTCCAGATGTCCAAGTGAAGATTTAAAAAGAAAAATATATGGTTGTGTATTAGTTGTTGGAGGTGGCATGAACTTTTCAGGAATTGGTGGGTTTCAAATTTCCCAAAATTTTTTATTTTCACAATTTTATTTTTCTTGAGGCACTTGGTTACAAAATCGAATATCCCTTCAAATCCCTTATCTCTACCGAGCAGAAGAACTGGACATAATTACCAATCCTAGAGAAATGGATTCATCTGTGGTGACTTGGAAAGGAGCTTGTATTATGTCTTGTCTAGAGACAGCGCAAGAACTATGGATTGAGGCTTCTGAGTGGAAAAAGCATGGTGTGAGGGTGCTAAGAGAAAGAGCCCCATTCACTTGGTAATTGATAATGTAATAGAAAATACTTTTCATCTTGGCTTTTTTTTTTTACTTCAAATTGCGTTAGTGAAAATTTATTGTTTTTTTTTAAATTTTTTCCAAATCTTATAGTATTTTGCTTTTGAAGGTGACAAGCTCCGCCTGACGGCTCGCTAGTCATTTCCTTCAATCGCCAGTAAAAGCTGTTTTACCTAGCTGATAATGTACAATAATTCATTTGTTACTCATTTATAGAAGATATAGGGACAAATAAAAAATTAATACATAACAATATTTTGAAATTCATATTGTTTTCTTTGATTTTTTCTCATTCAAGCTTTGGTAGTTTGGTATGACTATGAGAACAAGACGCTGTTAAGTCGTTGTTTCTAGTTATAAATAGGTTTTCTGACAGATTTGCATTTGGCAATTTTTGTCCAGAAATGAATATGCTATAATATATTATCAATGAAGTTGCAGTCATAGCTAACATTTTATCACTAGAAAAGTCTTCCAGAAGATAACTACAAGCAATTATTCTTGTGATAAAACTGATTTTTCAAAAATAAATAATTCTACTGACAAAAAGTTTTACAGTTTAGCTGTCAATTTTACAAGTCAGTAAAGCCAGTAGCTTGTAAAAATCAATTTTTGTTGTTCATGTTTTCACTTGATAAGTGACTTCTTACAAATGAGTGACGAACAAAGATTTTCTGTGGTTAGTTATATTTTAACTTTTTGTATTTATGCTAGACTGCCTGACATTTGTTTGTTTTTTGTACCATTTACTAATTTATTAATAATTTTTGTGCCTACAATGTTAATGTTCATTTATTTTCCTGAATTGAATTATTTACTGGCTTGGTTTTATTTTTAATATTAGTATGTAGAAATGCTTTGTCGATAAGTTTTTTTTATTCTTTGACAATAAAGCTTTTTTTTAATTGAATTGAAAAAAAAATTACATATCTCCATGTGTTTTGTGAGTGGTGTTTTTGGAGTTTACATGATTAAAATATATTCTAGTCTACCTTTCCTATATGTATAATCTAAAAAAAAAATTTACAAAATAGGCCAAGGATCTGTTGGATACCTTCAACCAAAAAATCATAACTGGTGGTGAACCTTAGCAAGAAAATTATCAAAACTCTAACCGTGTTTCTCTGGGGTCAGACTTAAGTAACAAGAACACCTACGAAAATTGGGGTTGGAAGAAATAAATACCTGTAGATTCTGTCAAGATGAAGAGGAGACACCTCTCGTGAACTGCGATGCCAATAGTCGTGTAGGGATGAAGAATCTGGGACGTCCTCTCTGGTCATCCACTGGAAGGGAAAACCATAAAACGGCTATGAGACAAACTGCGATATTTCTGTTTTGTTTTTATTATATTCAACCTTCAACGGCTACACAGTGGTCTGCCAGACACTTTTGAAAATACTTGTGTTTTGATAGGTCAGGGCCTATGTACCTTTCAGTGGATCACTGTCCCACATGGCACACATCAGTAATGCGAAAAAGTCAGTGGAGTGAGTAGTGATTTTTTATTTATTCCTAAAGATAGATACTGCTCTGCTATGCCTTATGCAGTTAGAAAATATTCTCTGGAACCACTGGCTACTCTAATGCCGGGTCCAGACCAAGCAGACAAAACAACGACAAGACAAAGACATTCATGTCTCGCGACAAAGCAGTGACAAATCCAATACATTTCTGCAACATTTTTTATTATTATTATTATTAAGAACTTATTGGTTTCCCAAAAGGCCATCGACCGAAGTCCTTCAGCCAAGGTAAATTTCACAGTGACATAAAATGTTATGTTGTATAACTAAGAATATTACTTCTGTGTAACAAAAAAAAAAAAAAAATTATAATATAATTTAAAAATTTAAATTAAATGAGGTTTTGAAGCTGTTGAAGCTTCTCAATTGTTGTGATTATGGGGAAATTGTGTCTGGAAATTCTGTTTTCCCTTGTTCTACATAGTGGCTCTAGGATCTTCATGTTATGTGGTCTTAAAACAAATTTCTTGCCGAGCTGGTGGAGTCTCTGATGGATTGGTTCGATTCCTGTCCTCTGATAGAGCAATTCATTTCTTGGATTGAACAGTGAGTTTTGAGGATGTCGCATTCTGGTTATTGCTCGAAGAGCTGAAGTTTCTGCTGTTTTTATGTTTTTTTGAGCCGGTCGTCTAAGATTAAGAAGGATTGTGTGTCCATATTCTAGAAGAGGTCTACAGATTGATTTGTAAATTTTTGTGGCCGTTCTGAAGTTAATTCCGTGGTTCTTGTAGGTTAATGCTCTGGAATGCTTTGCTCTGGTAATTGCTTTAGTTTTTATGGCTTTAGTGTGATTATTAAAATTGAGTTTGGTGTCGATTACAATTCCCAGATATTTAGCAGTCGGCTTTGGTCGGATCCTCGGTCGGATCGGTTGTTTGAGTAAAGTTATTTGAGGTGAAGTTGCACGAATTGAGTGGTTAAACACGAGATATTGCGATTTTAATGGATTTGGAGTTAAGCGCCATTTTTGGAACCAGACCTCAATTTGCTGAGTATAGTGCTGAAGCTTGGCAATGGTGATAGAGGCGATCCTTGTGGTACTCCTTGTTGTGGACTAAATTCTTGGGATTTTTGATTATTGATTTTAATTTGAATGTTTCTGCTCTCTAAAAAGTTTTTGATAATTTCTATGAGGTGCTCAGGAACTTCCAAGATATACAGTTTGTATAGGAGACCTCTGTGCCAGACACTGTTGAATGCCTTTTCCATATCCAAGAAAATGTCTGCAACATTTTTGTCTTTTTTTTTGTTGTTTCCAATTTCCGAGACTTTTGAAAGTCCCGTCGTGAGTCGGTAAAGTTCCAAGAGTCTCCGTTTTGTCTGTGTATTTTACACGTTGGCGCAGTGTGGACGGGTGTGCTGACAATAGTAGGAGACTAGTGTCAATCAATGGAAAATCACACAAATGTAATTTGTGTGTATGTCTTTTGGCAACTGCCGTACCAACAAGGCATATTAGATTCTCGAAATCTTCGGTGGACATTCTTAAAGCTTGAGCGAATCTCACCACTTAGTCGAATATCATCTTCACGTCACTGAACTAACAATAATTCATTCATGGAATAATTTTTCCGCTTTTTCGAGCTTGGTCTCACCCAAAAACGTTTCCGTTTCATTTGTCCAACATTGGATGAAGATGAGAAAAAGATGTAACATCTGGCGGCTAGCAATAAATCTTAATTTTTTGAATTTTCTTTCTGGAAACGCCACATGGTTAAGCAACTGATTCGCGTCTAGTGATGTAAAATGCTCGAGCAAGTATTTTAGGAGAACGTTCTCCGAGCACGATCGAGAATTAACGAGAATAAACGAGCAAAAACGAGCAGGACCCGAGAATTTATGCTTTTTATCAGAAGCTGAATAAAACAAAACATTTTTCTAAATAAATTCTGATTTTTCTCAAATTTCCCGAAATTCCCAAATTTCTCGTGAAAGTTCTGAATATTCTGAAAATTCTTGATAAATGTGCTGAAAGTTCTCAAACTTCTTAAGAAAATATACCTACTTAATACATAATTAATCACATAATTTGTGAATTGTGTCTTGTGTCATGTTTGATAACAATAATTATTCTAATTTGGGGTTTTCTGTGAAACTTCAACATACAATTATCATTAGGATTCTTTTTTTTTTGATAATAAAATAAAATAGTGATTTTAGTTTGAGTATATTCCAGTACAACGCTACCTTTGCCTCCAAAAAAAAATAACTATTGCTGCTGTTGCTTCCTGGTTCTCGGGCTCAATATTTGATATATCTTCGCCTTCAACAGCTTCCATAAATATATCTCTACTTTATGGCGTCATGTGATTTTATTGGTTAGGATCGTGCTTGAGAACGTGCTGAATATTCTCTATCGTGCTCATTGTGCTCCGAAGGTAATATTCAGCACGAACCTTTTTTTCGTGCGCGAACGTTCGCGAATGTTCTCGAAAGCACAATCAGAACGTTCCCTTGTTCACATCACTATTCGCGTCAACCAACAACTAAATTTTGTTGCACATTTTTGTCTTTCTGGTGTGGACAGTTTGTCTCAATTTTGTCTTGTCTCAATATCCAAATTTTTGTCGCAGTTTTGTGGTGTTTTTGTCTCAAAATCTTGTTTACTTTTTGTCTTCTTGGTCTGGACCCGGCATGCATAAGATTCCGGACATGTGCCAAATTTGCTACTGAATGTATTTATTTTTACTTACCAACTCATATAGATTTTCCATAAAGGTTTTTCGGAATTCAGGACAAAGGTGTCAAAAACAGCGCAGGGCCCTCACTATTCACAAAAAGGGACTTAAGAATCCTCATTCCTCTGGGATTCACCGATACCGATGTTCCTCGGATTAGGATGTGTTCCTCTTCCGTTTCACCGCGCAAATTCCCGATAAATATCAGTCAATATAATTCCATTTCACTCTATGTCGTAATTATAACAAAGAAAGACGATTCCATGGTGCTAGCGCCCATCGAACACGAGCAAACGAAAATTTGACGTTGGAGTGACACCGGAGTATAGAAATGGGGTACGTTCGAAAATGCTTCTGTCGGTATTGGTATTGGTACAGATGTAGTATCGTAACGATAAAACTATTCAACAAAAGATCTGTTCGCACAGAAATCACAAACCAGTCTGAGTGAATTTCATTGGTTGAAATTAGTTTTCTGACTGTTTTCAACCAATGAAATTCGCTCTGACTGGTTTGTGATTGCTGTGCGAACAGACCTAATGTTAGGTTGTTTTCACGATCTCCGAGTTTTCCGGACATTGTTCCGAATTCCGATCGGACTTCCCCGGACACCCAAACCAAACATGTCCGGGTTAATCCGGACGTATGGAAACCCTAAACTCATCACTATGCTAATCATCATCAATAGATGCTTAGGTCTGTCAGTAGACAGGTCCCTTGTTTAAAGAGGGCGCGTTCTTTTATTCAGCAATGCATCCATCTGCTGCCATCATAATAAGACAGACATTCCTATTTTCTATGAGCTAGACAAAGAAAGGCTGATTACTGATGGATCCACCGCTGAATAAAAGAAAGCGCCCAGACTTTAGCCGCTTTCTAGCTGACCATTTTGAGCACGCAATCGAGCTTTTGCGCGCGCAAATTCATCAAGCGCGTGTTCATGTTCCAGCCGTACTGCCGCTTTGAGAGCTGCTAACTTTTGCGTTTCAAACACAGAACACTGTGCCCCACCGTGCTTGAATCACAAACACAATAGCCGCTTTCCACCTGACATTAGCCGCTTTCCAGCTGTGTGCTTCAAGCACGGTGCAGCACAGTGTTCTGTGTTTGAAACGCAAAAGTTAGCAGCTCTCGAAGCGCAGTACAGCTGGAACACAAACACGCGCTTGAAGCATTTGCGCGCGCAACAGCTCGATTGCGTGCTCAAAAGCATCAGCTGGAAAACGGCTATTGTGTTTGTGCTTCAAGCACGGTGCAGCACAGTGTTCTGTGTTTGAAACGCAAAAGTTATCAGCTGTCGAAGCGCATTACGGCTGGAACACGAAAACGCGCTTGAACCATTTGCGCGTGCAGAAGCTCGATTGCGTGCTCAAAATGGTCAGCTGGAAAGTGGCTAATGTCAGCTGGAAAGCGGCTCATATTGAAAAGTATGTGACAGAATTCTGTCTGGTTGCTATAGCCGCTTTTCAGCTGTGTGCTTCAAGCACGGTGCAGCACAGTGTTCTGTGTTTGAAACGCAAAAGTTAGCAGCTCTCGAAGCACAGTACAGCTGGAACACGAACACGCGCTTGAAGCATTTGCGCGCGCAAAAGCTCGAGTGCGTGCTCAAAAGCGTCAGCTGGAAAGCGGCTTATGTCCTGAGAGTTAT